TATAAAAGAAGGTAAGACTACTTTTCCTTTAAGATTTTGAGAGCAGTAAGTGAGATTCCAAATGTCCTGTGCAAGCAGAGAGCCTGTCACTCCTAACAGACACTTTTTTTCTTTTTTCTCCTTCTGTGGGCACTAGCCTGCATTTTAATGTTTAATCAAAGCACATAGACTAAGGTTTGTGGGTGGATGGATGGATGGATGGATGGGTGGGTGGATGGATGGATGGATGGATGGATGGATAGGTACATGGATGGACGGATGGATGGATGGATGAGTAGGTAGATGGATGGGTGGGTGGATGGATGGATGGATGGATGGATGGATGGGTAGGTGGATGGATGGGTGGATGGATGGGTAGGTGGATGGATGAGTGGAGGGAGAGAAGGCACAGAAAGGCCTGGGGAGCCACTCCAACCCCACCTCTGTGGGCCAACCCCTTGGGGACACGCCCACCCCTTCCCCACCCCCACGGAGAGCTATCCAAGCAAAAGGCTCTTTAACCTGCAGGTCTGTTTTTCCAAGAAACCCTCTGAGTCTATTGTGAACAGCTTGTCTCAACCCTCCAGGCTCAGGACTGGTAGGTTCCGGGGTCACCTCACCCCCTTGCGCCAGGCGAGAAGGCAGCGCCCGCCAAGGGCCCAAGCCCAGCACTGACTACGCACCAGGCGCCCCAAGAAGAACATTGCGCGTGGGTGTCACTGTCGTCCCTCCTTACAGGTGGGAACACGGAGGCCCAGGGAATGGCGTGACTTGCTCAGGGACACACGGTGGCGGGAATAGCAGTGCCAGCCCCTCACCCTCCACAGGCCCCTCCTCAGGGAGGGGATGGAAGTTCTTCCCCTGAAGTCCCTGGGTCGTTTCGATTCTGTGTCTTTCCTCTGAGCAGGTTTTCCAGCCTTCCCCTCCCCTCCGGGCACATGGACTAATTACCGAAACCCTGGGACACACCAAAAAGTATATGTTTGCCAATCTGACAAAATAAAAAGGTATAATTTTGATTCACACCGGACGGCTATTGTGGTTTTTTAAAAAAAATAAAATCATGTTTTTACTGATTTCAGAGAGAGAGAGAGAGGAACATCAATGATGAAAGAGAATCATTGATCAGCTGCCTCCTGCAGGCCCCCAACTGGGATCAAGCCGGCAACGCGGGCCTGTGCCCTGACCAGGAATCGAACCCCTGACCTTCTGGTTCAAAGGTCAACGCTCAACCACTGAGCCATGCCAGCCGGGCTGTTATCATCTTTTTCTTTGACAATCTGAGGGAAGAGTCAGGTCAGCGCCCCTGACTGAAGAGTCGGGTGTCGCATGTTTTAAACATCCTTGTGGCAGCCTCCTCCCCGCCGCCCCGGCTGAGAACGGCTGCCTAGAACGGAGAGCAGACGCTGCACATTCTGCTCACGGCCAGCTCTGAGCCTCCTCTCTGCATCCCTGTCCCTCGCACACACCCTCGAGGAAGCGGACCTGAACTTGAAAGGACAACACAGGGACCACATTTAGGACAAGCCGCTGTGACCACGTGACTGCAGGCTCAGGGATGGGCAGATCCGGGCTGAGCGTCTCGGGCCCGGGGGGCGGGGGGGAGGCCTGGGCTCCCCACTGGCCGCTGCGCTGGCCGCCCGGGGCCTAGCCAGTGTGCCACGTGAGGGCCTGGCAAGGAGCTTGGTGAGGATGTAACCCAATCCCCTCTTTGTACAGGTGGGGAAACCGAGGCTCAAAGGGCAGTGAGTCGGGCTCCAGTCACAGGTCTCCCATCCTGGCCACTGCCTCTGAGAATGGACTGGAAATAAAGTGAGCAGTGCTCAGGCCAGGTCTCAGGCCAGGGCCACCGTCTCCACCTGTGGGGACCAGGAATGTCCCGGGAGACCGACATTCGCCCGTGGGAACAAGTCCGAGGGGGGCCCCACGCCCGGATGCAGCCAGCAGCCAGCAGAGCCGGGTGGCCGGCTCTGGAGATCCTAGAACAGGGGTGGACAAGCTTTCTGACTCAAGGGCCACATGGGTTCTTAAACTGGACCGGAGGCCGGAACAAAAGCATGGATGGAGTGTTTGTGTGAACTAATATAAATTCAAAGTAAACATCATTACATAAAAGGGTACGGTCTTTTTTTTTTTTTTAGTTTTATTAATTTCAAACGGGCCGGATCTGGCCCGCGGGCCATAGTTTGCCCACGGCTGTCCTAGACCCACAGTCAGAGAAGACCCGTGCCCTGGAAAGGGGGGGCGTGTCTGGAAAGCGTGAGAGCCAGCAAGAGCGACGGTGCTGGCACGTGGAGGTGAGCACCAGGCAGGAGGAAGCGGCACGTGCATGGCGGGCGCAGGACGGACACACGGACGGACACACGGACGGACACATGGACGGACAGACGCGCAGCATGCGGGGCGCGGCGAGGCGGCGGGGTTAGGCTTACTTCAGCAGCTTGATGTTACACATAATCAGCTCCTTCCAGTTAACAAAGGTCATAGCGCCCTCTTTCTCTGTGAGCAGCTCAGCCTCCATCAGGGGTTTCTGAAAGATCTGCAGGCAGAGAGGAGCGCGTCAGAGAGCGGGTCAGCCAGCCCGGCCCGCGCAGACCTGTTCAGAGCGGGGAGCCCCGGGGGAGCCCCAAGCAGAGAAGTGTGGAGGACCAGCCCGCACACCCCAGGACACAGCTGAGGCCTGTACGCAGCCGCCCACCATCGGACCTGCACCAGGGCACGGGCACCGGGCACAGGGCACAGGGCACAGGGCACAGTGGGACTTAGATGCACATGGCGGTGAGTGACTCCCTGGGCATCTGAGGCGGGCAGCCCTGCAGCCTTGGGACAGACTGCACTGCTGGGCCTCTGCCTGTAGGGACAGAGCTGGCACGCAGGTGGGGGACAGAGCCGGCACGCAGGTGGGGACAGAGCCGGCACACAGGGGGGGACAGAGCCGGCACGCAGGTGGGGACAGAG